TACTTAAAACCCCCAAACTTTAAATTCAATCAATTTAATCCCTAAAACTATAAACTAAAGGACACTAATTTTTAAATTATTCACTAAGGTATGTGGGGTGTTACACGAGGTGGGTCCTCGGGGTAGACACTCCGATGCTTAAGTTAGCAATAATCGGGGCTACCTTTAGAGCGGAGAAAAATGGAGCTTAGGGTTAGTTTCAATTACCTTTTTGATGTGGCCTTTAAGGGGTATTTATAGGCTCCAGTGGGGAACCCACGTGGCATGCCAAGCAAGATAATCGGAGCCTGACGTGTCTATCCAGATGGTTATTTCGGGACCGGGAATTTGAGAGATATTCATATGCAAGGATGCCCGCCATAACTGCTGTGCAGCTCATCATAAAGAATCAAGTGCGGGCATGTTTATTGTCGCTGTTATGTAGCTATTTGAGCGAGAAGCTCTAAATTTATTCTTCACTCCGATTATAAAGGAATTACTGCCGTACGTCTGAGGTTGGGCACCACTGACCTGTCCTTACACTATTCCCCCCCCGAAGTCATTCACTTGTGAATGATGTTGTTGGAGATGCTGGGAGTAATGCATAAATATAAAGGAAGGGGGACAAAGATATTAAAGATGAGTTACAGAAGTAAATATGGAAATAAAAATCTGTAACTCAAATGTATGTATGGTCGTAGCTAATAATGAAATATGTGACAGGGGGTCATGTTGGCCATGCCCAAAATAAAATGTGACCGGAGTGATCGTGGCCGTAGCCGTGGTGAAAATAGTGACCGGAGTCAATGTGGCCGGAGCCATAATAAGAAATGATGATTGGAGTCATGGTGGCCGGAGCCGTAATAACAAGTGATGAGCGGAGTCATGATGGTCGGAGCCATAATAAAAAGTGATAACCAGAGTCATGGTGGCCGGAGCAGTAATAAAAAGTGATGACCAGAGTCATGGTGGCTAGAGCCAAAGGTAAAAGTAATGACTGGAGTCATGGTGGCCGTAGCCAAAATAAAGCATGTGACACTAGGTCACTGTAGCGGTAGCCGAAGAGAAACGTGTGATACTGGGGCCACTATGGCCGGAGCCGAAGTGAAACATGCACTGGGTCACTATGGCCGGAGCCGAAGTGAAACGTGTGGCATTGGGTCACTGTGGCCAGAACCGAGGTGAAAAATATGACCGGAGACATAAGGTCGGTTGCCGAAGTGAAACACTTGCTAAAATTGAGAATGTGTAAAAGTGAGCAAGAGTGTTGAAGTGGGCTCAAGTGGGCCCATCTGAGAAGCCTGACCAAGAGGCAGTACGTGATGTGACAGCTGTCCTTTGAATGACGTGCGCAATAAATGCGGCTGTAAAAAGTTAATTGCAACAGTCAAACGGGCAGATTTAAAAAATAAATCGTCGAGTTAGAAACGGTGCCATTTGGGGTTAACCGTCGAATTCGAAATAGTGTCTTTGTAGCCGTTAGATGGAGTTAATCACAGTCATTGAGGCGTATTTTGCCTTTGGTATAAAAGGCAATACTTCTGTAAAAAGGGATTTTTACCTTCGCTATTTTGCTACCAAATTCTTGTCAAATTTCTGCGGTTTCGTGCGGTCTGTGCTTTGATTGAGACTTCAACAACAGTTTCACAAGACCAAAATCAGGTAAAGTTTACGAATTTCTGATTTTGATTTTACCAAAGTGTGATTCTCCTTTCTCCCTTTCTGTTTTTGATTTTGGGTCTTCTGAAGGAAGTTAGGGTTAGGAATGAGAATGCTATTAAGTGTGTGTTATAATTTTTTAAGGGTCCTGACTCCATTCCTCCTCCTACTTTATGCAAAAATTGAGGAGATGTCTTCAGAAGGGACAATGAGTGTAATAGGAAGTGAAGTGATGCCCCTGGAGTATGGTAACATGGACTCGGAGAGTTGTCCGTCTCCATCTAGTTCAGAGAGGACCCTGGAGGAAAAGAGGTAGCGGAGGGCAGTGGAAGAGGAGGAAGAAGAAATTCCCTCAAATGTGATGGAGGTTGAGGGTAATGGAGATAGGACCTATGACCCAAAATTAGACATAGTGTCTGAGGTGAAAGGGTATGTAAACGAGTTGGGTAGCAGGGGTAGTCTTAGGGGTCTTGTAGGTAACTGTGACCTTCCTCACCATGTCTTAATTAGGCTAGCCGGGGTGAATGAGAGAGCATGCTCAGCACCCCAAGACCACTGGATGCCCATGTATATCCATTATTTGGCTGCAGGGCTTAGGTTCCCCATTCCAGAATTACTGGTTGGGTTATTATTAGATTATAGTATAGGAATAACCCAATCAACCCAAATGCTATAAGAGTAATAATAGGCTTCATAGTATATTGCCGAGCTCTGGGGGTTGGGGTCCCTACAGTAAATATGTTTAAGCATTTTTTTATAATAAATGCTAGGGGTAAGGGTGAGAAGGGGTGGTACTACTTCGGCCCTCAGTCGTCCAGCAAAGAGAATATAAGTTTATTCACTGCTGGACCGTCATCCATTAAAGGATGGAAAGAAAAATTCTTCTTTGTGGATGACACCGAGTGGAGTATGAAGGACACTGAAGTAGAACAATTGTCTGCTTGGAAAGCTAAGAAAGCCAAGCAGAACAATTATAAGTTGAATGAGGATGAAGTGGAAGAGGTAGGGAAGCTGGTGAGGGAAGAAGGGGAGTTAGTAGATATCATGTACCTCACAAGCGCAGAGACGATAAAGGCTGCCAAGCTCTATGGGCCAAGCTCATTGAGGGAAGGTTTGTTTATCGTTGCTTTTTACAACTTACTTGAACTTTCAGTTGTTGTGTTTTAACACTTATTTTTGTTTTGCAGCTGAGATGGACGGTTTTCTAAATGCTGCTGGGGGGCTGGCTATCCCAAAAAAGCTAAGGAAGAAGTCAAAGACTTCAACTGCGGCAGAAAAAGGGGTGGCAGAGACGAAGCGGCTGTCCAGCACTTCTGCCCAGGCTTTGGAGATGCAACCAAGGCCAGAGCCTATGAGGAGAAGCAGTGAGGAGGCGAGTGAGGAGGTGGCGCCACTCCAGAGGAAGAAGAGGAAGATGGCAGAGCCAGAAGCTAGGAGGGATGAGGTGGTGGAGTTCGTGCCTCGGCCTTCTCCTCAGGAAGTTGATCCTGAAGTCAGGGAGAGGGAGGAAGCCGAGGTGCAAGGCCCTGGCAAAGGCAAGGAGCTCATCCCTCCCCCTTCATTCCAGAAGAGCTTATTCGATGCAACCAACATCACTAGAGCGAAGCGGTTCTTGAATGCCACACTTCCGGAGGTGGATAGGAGGCAAGTGAGGGATGAGCCAGTGAGCCAACTAGGGGCTCGCATTGTGAGGCACTCCCTGGAGGTATGTAAAGAAATCATAGTTTATTGATGTTTTATTTTTGATTTTTTGACTTCTGGTTTTGAGTTCGGACTTCTGCTTGCATTGCAGAGTGCAAGCTAGGTAAACGCTCTAGCGTAGGAGTATGCGGAAAGTGTGAGAGATCGTGCCAGCTTGCATAGGCAGTGTTAGGAGCTACTAAAGGAGAAAGAGGAGCTGCAGAAGGAAAAGAAGGAGCTGCAGAAGAAGAACCAGGATATGCAGAGGAAACTGGATGAATTTCTGCCATCAGTAACCGAACACCAGAACGATAATGATACCTTGAGCACGAGACTTGTCTTTGAAGAACGTAAGAAAAAGATCTGTGAAGACAAGCTCAAGACTCAAGACAAATACATTGATAACATGAAGAAAGGAGTGGCGAAGCTGAAAAAGAACATGAATCTACTGGTTCACAACGGAATGGAGAAGCACATTGGCAACTTCCTCAACTCCAGCACCTTCGAGAACATCATCAACCTCTACCAACTGCCGACCACAATTTTGGCTTTCACCGACTGTAGAAAGAAGGTGAAGGCTCAATATCCCAAAGTGGACGTCACGACATTCACCTTCGGCAAGCAAGAAGAAGGGGTGGAGGAGGATGGTGAAAGTCTTTCTGTTGACTTCCGACCTCTGATCAAGCTGAGGTGGGAGCGTGACACAGAGGGACGCACTATCTTCCCTCCTGCCTTTGATGCTGAGCTAGTGGCCGTAGAGGAAGAGGAAGGAGGGCAAGATGCTGAAGTGGAGAACCAGATAGATCCGGCTGAAGTCCAACCTCCTGAAGTTCATCCAGTTTCCTCTAACGAAGAGCAGCTAGCTCCTCCTGAAGTAGAAGCGCCGCCTCTGCATGCTGGGGATGAGCCGCCTCAACCACCTCTTCCTACTGAGGAGCAGCCTCCTCCCTCAGCAGATTAGCCTAGGATTTTATATTTTTTAGTTATATTTGTAATGAACATTTTGTAATTGATTTTTCACTAAGTTATAAAAAAATTTGAAGTTATTTTTGGTGTTCAGTGTTGATTTCTGATTGCTATTTTATTTTAAGTAAATCACTTCGGATAAAATAAAGTGACCTTAATTAACACAAGGAACTGACCTCGAACACAATAAAATAAACAACAAGGGAATTGACTTCGGATATACATGAGGTGGACCTCGAATATACAAATGAGAAAAGATAAAGTGAATCATTTCAAAAGTAAGGTGTAATTGATTAAGAAAATCGTAACCCAAAAAATGAAGTGACTGAATAAGTCACAATGAATTAACTTCATAAATGAGTAAAATTCACTTCCAATGTATAGAAAAGTAGGAAGAACTGAATCACTTCGAATGTGAAGTGAAACTCATTAATGAGATAAATGAATTGAGCTCGTATATACATTGAGCAGAAAGATAAAATAATGACAATTGTAAAAATAAGGCAAAGTTCTCTGGGAAGAAGTGTATTAAGGGTAAAATTTCTTCAAGTTATTGACATTCCAGACTCTAGGAACCCTTTTGCCTTCAATGTCCCGTAGGATATAACCACCTGGGTGCGGCACTTCGGCTACAGTGTAGGGGCCTTCTCAGTTTGGTGCTAACTTTCCGAATCGAGTTTCGAACCCCGTTAGACCAGCTTTCCTGAGAATAAGGTCTCCTACTTTGAATGTTCGGCGTCGAACTCGTTTGTTGTAGAAGTTGGCTATTTTCTGCTTGTAAACTAGAGTTCGACGTCGTGCTTCTTCTCTGACTTCATCAAGCAAGTTAAGGTTCTCCCGAAGCAGTTGTCCATTTCGTCCTTCATCAAAATGGGTGACCCTGAAGCTTGGGACTTCTATCTTGATAGGAATGACTACTTCGATACCAAAGGCAAGATGATAGGGTGGTTCACCTATTTCAGTTAATTATAATTTTAGAATGCGCTTTACGTGTTATGCATAGTTGATCTAAGGTAAAGCCGTAGAAGAAGAAGTAAAATAATATGAAAATTAATCAAGTAAAATAGGTTTGAAGTAATACCTGTGGCAATTCGGCTCATGGTTCTATATGCCCAAAGGACATTGTTAAGCTCGTTTGCCCACCTGGCCTTATGTAGCTCTAACCTTGGTTTTATTCCCTCGAGTATAACCTTATTGACAGATTCTACCATTCCATTAGATTCCGGGTGGTACACCGAGGTGAACTGCAATTTGATCCCATAACTAGAGCAGAAATCTCTGAATGAGGAACAGTTGAACTAAGTTCCATTATCAGCCACAATCTGATTCAGGATCCCATATCTACAGATGATTGAGCTGAAAACAAAGTCTTCGACCTTCTTGGAGGTAAGACCGGATAATGGCCGAGCTTCAACCCATTTCGTAAAATAATCCACACCAACAATCAGATGGGTTACACCTCCTACCCCAGATGGGTTACACCTCCTACCCCCTTCATAAATGGACCTAAAAGGTCAAGCCCCCATTGAGCAAATGGCCAAGGTGCTATCAGAGTAGTGAGCTCTTCTGCTAACTGGTGAATTAGATGTGCGAAGAACTGACATTACTGACACCTCTGTACGAATTGAGTGGCATTTTATACATATTGGGCCAGTAATATCCTTGTCTAAGGACTTTATGAGCCAAAGTTTGAGCACCTATGTGGCTTCCGCAAACACCTTCATGCACCTCCCCAAGTGTGTATTCAGCCTCATAAGGGTTCAAACAGCGGAGTAGAGGGAGTGAAAAAGATCTCTTGTAGAGGACCTCATTAACAAGGGTATACCAAGATGCCTTCTTCCTTAATCCCATCTCTTCTTGTTTATCTGTTGGTACTGTTCCATCCCGTAAAAATGAGATAATTGGATCTGTCCAGTTTGGTGTGCTGGGATCTGTGTTGATCTCCATCATTTTTGGCTTTAAGAAGCTAGGCTCGTCCAGAATTTCAACAAAGACCGATCTGGAACTTTGATTGCCATCAGAAGCAAATTTGGAGAGGGAATCTACTTGCTCATTTTCAGCTCGGGGTATTTTGCTCAACTGAAATTTTTGGAATTTGGACTTCAGCTCGGCCACCAGAGTTGCATACTTCATCATGACAGGATCAACCACTTCACAGACTGAGTTGACCTGATTGACTACTAGTTGTGAATCACTGTATATTTGTATTGCCGCAACCTTTAGTTCTATTGCCAACTGCAAACCGAGTAGCAGAGCCTCATACTCAGCCATATTGTTTGTTGCATCGAAGTTAAATTTCAGAGCATGTTCACTTTTGTACCCATCTGGGCCAAGTAGGATTGCACTAGCGCCAGAACCTTTGTTACTTGATGCTCCATCAACATACAGAATCCAACTGTCCAGCACGGGCTGAGAATCAAAGTGAGCCGAGGTGCATTCTACTATAAAATCTGCAAGAGCCTAAGCTCCGATTGCTGACCTCTGTTGAAATGTTATCTCAAATTCTCCCAGCTCAACTGCCCATTTGATCAATCTTCCTGAGCATTCTGGCTTCTATAAAATTTGTCTGAGGGGCTGGTCCATGAGGACTATGATTGCATGTGATTGGAAATATAGTCTCAGTTTCCTAGCCGAGGTGACAACTACTAAGGCTGCTTTCTCAACAATAAAATATCTGACTTCAGCTCCGTGTAACACACTACTGGTGTAATAAACTGGCTTCTGTTGCTTACCTTCTTCTCTTACTAGCACAGAACTGATAACTTCATCTGATATGCCAAGATACAAGTAAAGGATTTCTCCATCATTAGCCTTCGTCAGCAAAGGAGGTGAGCTAAGATAAGACTTCAACTCGTCAAATGCAGCTTGACATTCTGAAGTCCATTCAAACTTCTTTTGTTTGCCAGAGTCATCCTTATGGGCTGCCAATCTCATGATCTTGAAGAACAGTAGGTACTTATTTGCTGATTTTGAGATGAATCTATGAAGAGCTGCTACTCTCCCTATCAGTCTCTGTACATCTTTTACTAACTTCGATGGTTCCATCTCGGCCACTGCTTTAATCTTCTCGGGGTTAACCTCAATCCCCCTTCTAGACACCATGAAGCCTAGAAATTTTCCAGACTCCACACCGAAGATGCATTTTGCTGGATTCAACCTCATTCTGTTCTTTCTGAGATTGTTGAATGTCTCATCGAGGTCAATTAAGTGATCTTCAGCTTTCAAACTCTTCACCACTATATCATCAATGTAAACTTCCAGATTCTGGCCTATTTGAGCTCGAAATACGATGGTAACCATCTTCTGGTAAGTGGCACCTGCGTTTTTCAAGCCGAAGGGCATCATCACATAGCAATAGATTTCATCGCTGGCATAGAACGAGGTTTTTTCTTCATCCTCAGGAGCCATTGGAACCTGGTGGTAGCCGAAGTATGCATCCAAGAAACTTAATCTCTCGTTTCCAAAAGCTGCCTCAACCAGCTTATCAATGCTTGGCATCGAGTAACAGTCTTTTGGATACCCCTAGTTGAGGTTAGTGTAATCGATGCACATTCGCCCTTTGCCTTTTGCTTTTTTCACCACCACAGGATTGGCGACCCATTCACAATAATCGACCTGTCTAACGAAGCCAGCTTGTAAGAGCTTTTCAACTTCTTCTTTGATGACCTTTAACCTCTCCCCCCCCCC